AATACAGTATTCTCTTTGCCATAGTCAACTTTGCAGCAATAAAACGGGGCATATCAGTGAACATGCATCAAAATGTTACCCACACTTATGTGTAATAACAGTAAACTCAAACTTGAAAAATCATACAGTTAGACACATGTCAACATGTCTTATTTAGGGATGTGTGGACTAGTTATGAAGAGAAAAGAAAGGGTTCAATTTAGTGAAGTGTGTCACATGATTTTGATTAAGAGTTGAAGTTAAAAAAAAGCCCAATTAAGTTCTGTGTGGCTCTAATGAGAACAAGGAGAGAGTTTCCCTAAACTACAGTGTTGTCTTCGCTAACATGAAGGAAATCATGTCCACTCTGCTGCTGAGAGCAAGTGAAATGTCATTCATTCATGAAATACTGTGCAACAACTATATTCAGCATGGTAAGTGCAGCGGTGTTTATGATAGCTTTGGGTTTCATACATTCAAAATCTTACCAGTGAATCAATAACATCAACACCAAGTTGAAAATGTCCAGAGCATAGGACACTATAAGAATGTGTTATAGGAATTTGTGTCCTACAAACTGTTTTGAAACTACAAAATGCTATACTGATGTAAGCTATCATAAGAGTTCAGGGCATAGAAAACTGTAAAGTTTCTTTTGGTGGGTGGATAGCAGCTTATACGGAAATCAGTTTTGAGAATTTCTTATGGGGAAGATGCTTTATTTTCCACTCAATCTCAATTTCATTAATGTATTTATTTAACAAATATCTATGGAAAACCATTCAAACTCCCAAATTGCTGCCATCAAGTCATTTCTGACTCATAAGGCCCCTTATGAGACCTGACTTTGTGGGTTCCCAAGACTACAAAACCTTTTCTCAAAGAGAGACCCTCATCTTTCTCCTGAGGACTGTGTGGTGGCTTCTATCTGATGACCTGCTGGGAAACCATGATACCACCAGCACTCCTTACTGGGTATAAAATGTAGAGAATGCTACTGTGAACAAGGCATATGTTTTCTTCTTTTATGAAGATTATATTCTTTTGTTAAAAAAAAACTTTCATTGTGGTTTGGGTGGAAGTGTATGGAACAAATTCATTTTCCATTCAACAATTTATCCCATTTTGTTTCATGACATTGGTTGCAAGTCCCTCAATGTTATAGCTCGGTGACACTTCTCTCCTCTGGTTCCGTTTCCACTAGTCCCTTTCTGTTCTTTCTTGCCTTCTGAGCTTTGTTTGTTTTTTTGCAAGGCTTTTTGATGAGATATCTCTACAAGCTTTCTACTCCCCCCTTTTACACTTAACTCAATAAAATAGGATAGAGATAAATTACTTAGTGCAGTGTCTTACAAACTCTATTTATGCTCAGCAAATATTTGTTGAATAAATTAATGCTAAATAATCTCCTTCCCAATGTTATTTAAATAAACTCTTGGTAAAACTTACTCTAATTGGAAGGACAAAATTACTATATGCCTGTTCCTCATGAAAAATTAAGATACAATATTTTAGATTTTGTTTTAATCATCTATATTTTGTTTATCACTTTCAGATGAAAGAGCTCATCTCTTTCTGGCCACCCTTATTGATTGTTGGTGCAGTCTAATCTCGTAGAAAATACACTCCCAGTGTGAGAATCCGGTTCTGATATTAGAAAAAGCTAGGATTTTTTTGCTCGCTACCCTGATTTGTAGAATAATAGGGTAGACCAAATGAACAATAAGAATCCCTTCAAACTTCAACATTTTCATGTTTCAATACAGAGAATAGTATTTGATAGATACATATTTACATTTTGTAAAATGAACTCAGGTTATAATCGGGTATTGGCATTTTTATATGCTCTCATTATATTTCTGATGGATTGATAAATTATGCTGAAATCTATAAAATTTGAAACACATATAAAGAGATTTTTTAATGTGAGTAAAATAAAGTTCTGTGCCCCCCACACATAGATACAAATGCTTTCATCTATTTTGGAGTAATCAATGATTGGTTCTACATAATTAAGGTTATCAGAAAGATGAACAAATCTATCTTGGAAGAAGTATGGCTAGAATCCTCTTTAGAATCGAGGTTGGTAAGACTTGGTTTCATGTACATTAGATTTTTAAGCCATTTAAAATTTCTGAGATGATTGGATTTGAATTAAATTCCCTGAAAGTTAAAACCTATACTTTACCCACCACCCTATCACTTCACACTAACTAGACTAACTGGACTAACTAGACTTCACCTTTGTGTTTCAACTACTTGCAGCTCCATGAGTCTGAAGAGGGCTCTGGCTAGCATTGCACCCATAAACTTGAGTAGATCTTATTAAAAAATTACTTCTTGATATAAAGTTATTTCTTATACATATATGAGCCTCACTGGGTTTTGTTTCTCTAGGCAACCCAGGCTAACATACTGAGTATCAAAGGGAAATAGGATTGATATTACACAATGGTGGTAAAAGAAACTATGTCTGGAATCCAGGAGATTCTTTAAGACAACTCTTAGAATGACCAAGGCCTGATTTAAGTCAATGGAAAACTACAACAGCCTAATCTGGTACAATGACTGGTGGCCTAAGCCTTTCAGGAATGAGGACTTAGACCACCCACCAGAAAAGGACCAGAACCGGCTGAGGTGCTTACTGAAGGCAATGGGACTGCAGACTGAGCGATGGGAGGATACCAGCTATGACCACCTGACCAGCTGCAAACATGAAGCCTGTAATTTTTATGAGTATTTCTTCCTTATATGTACCATATATACTTGAGTATAAGCTGACCCAAATATCAGTTGAGGCACCTAATTTTACCACAAAAACTGCATTAAAAAAGTGCTGAAAAAACTCGGCTTATAAAGAAGTGTATATAAAACATTTTTGTTTTCTTCACATAAAATCACCTACTGTCACCAAGTCAATGTTTTATATAACATTCTTGTGTGTGTGTGTGTGTGTGTGTGTGTGTGTGTGACTGGTTTTGTTTCTCTAGACAACCCTGCCTAACACAATGGCCTTGCTTAGCACCTGTATCCCACCACACAGAGAAGGAATATGCATGAACTCAAAATTGCTATGAGAATTTCAAACTACATGATCTTTATATGTTACATTTACAATTTTTATTTTATAAGCTCACTTTCAAAATGAGAATAATGGAAGATATGCAGTAGTATGACTGCCTGAGTGGATTAAGGAATACATCTCCCAAGGTGGATTGAAATATTTGGAAGATGAATTTATTTTAGAAAGTTCATGAAACGTTTACGTTTGGTTTTGCCTTGGCCTTTGTTTTGTTTTTGCTTGTCAGTTCCAAAGAAGCATAAGCTTCCGTCCAGGACAAGCAGAAAGGCCTTATTTTGCCTTCCTTTCTATACTTCTCATGGCCAAAAGATGGCAGTGTGCTAGAGAATGATAACATTTTCCACTAATGCTGAGCTGACAAGTGGACTGCATGGTTGCCTGTGGTCCTAATGAGTTAGCCTGGCTTTGCAAAAATCTGCCATTTCAGAATATCCAAAACAGAAACCCATGGCTATCCAGGAGAAATGTGTACTTTATCTGCCTTTGTACAGAAGAGTGAATATGTTGCGTTAGACACAGACATACTTGAGCCACAAATGAAAAAATATCCTATGATTTAATGCATAGAAATGCTATTGGTTTCAAAATCCAAAGGTCAATATTATGATCCATTTGCCTAATGGTCGCACATGGAGAGCCACTCCCTTCCTCACAAAGTCTGACACTTACGAAGTCTTTTTTGCATTTCATGAACTATTTTTACGGCACAGACATCCAAGATGGAGCTTCGATATGGATATGAATAAGGTGAGTCTATCCTAAGTACCTCCCCCTGTCTCCTTTGTAGAATTGCCCTCTCTTTCCAGAGGCTCTGCATGCTTCAGGAACCTGCATGTCCAGGAGCACTTGCTGAGCCATGGGGCTACTTGGTGGCAGATGGCTCAGACTCTTACGCTTTCTTGTTGGTTTGTTTTAATGCCCATCTTTGATACTTTCTGTATCAGCGTCCTGATGGCACAGTGGTTAAGCGCTCAGATGCTAATGGCAATGTTGGGGGCTCCAAATAAGAAAGATGCGGCAGTCTGCTTCCGTAAAGGCTTAGAACTTTGGAACTCTGTTTGGAAATTATCTTCTGTCCGACAAGGTCACTAAAGAAGGAACAAACTCTATGGCCATAGGTTTCATTTGCATTTGGGATGTTCTATCATTCTTCCATAAGGCTTGTCCTTTATTAGCTTTACTGAGGAATAAGGTCTAATCAATGGTAAGGTGAAGTGCATATTCATTCTTCATGAGTGAAGGCTCTGCTATACATTCATCACAGTGCTATACATTCATCACAGTGAGGTAGGAGAGTTACCACTAGAAGACCCTTCCTTTAAGTTTCAAGGCAGATCAGAAAGATAGGCAAATAACAGTTAGGTGTAGTAACACTTCAGAGAGCTCATTCCTGGCGCAGAGCAATGCAGCTTGCCATGGCTACGCATAACTTGTTTTCATGTTAAGGTGAATGTCAATCATTGTAAATTTAATTCACTGCGTAACATATGTCCCATGTTGCTGGCTAACAATATTGAAAGTACCATGGATTGCTGACATAACAAACAAATCTGTCTTGGAAGAAGTACAATGAGAATACTCTTCATACACTTTGGACACGTCTCTCGGGGAGAGACCAGTCCCTGGAGAAGGACGTCATGTTTGGTAGAGAGACGACGAAAAAGGGGAGTCCCTCCACACGATGGATGGGCACAGTGGGTGCAACAACGGGCTCCCACAGAAGAACAATTGTGAGGACGTTGGAGGAGAGGATGGGCTTCCTTCTGTTGCACATGGGGCCTCTATCAGAGATGACTTGACAGAACCAAACAACAATGATATGAAATAAGTGATTAAGCTTAAGTTTTGATTCTGACACAAACTGACAGGAGTGGTATTTTAAGACATCTCAATCTTGGTATTTTCAATCGCCTCATATGCATTTGAAAGTTGAATAAGGATCGCTTCTCGGCCTTTTGGCTAAGATCAAGTGTAGTATATGTTCTTATCAGTTTAATATTTGATAGGCCCTCTAACTGAGGACAATATATTAAATAGGTTTTCGGAGCAGGGAGCTGGAATGGGAGCTTGCTCCATCCACTCCATGCATTGACCTGGTATTGCAGTACTTCCAGGAACAGTGCAACACAAAAAAAGAAGAAGAAAGTTGAATAAGGAAGGCCAAAGAATAATTGATGCATTTGAATTTTGGTGCTGGTAAGAATATTGAGGTCCCATGGACTATTAAAAGGACAAACAAATCTGTCTTGAAATAAGTACAACCATCCTTAGAGGCAAGGATGGTCAGGCTTCATCTTACATACTCTGGACATGTTGTCAGAAGAGACCAGTTCCTGGAAAAGGACATCATATTTGATAAAACAGAGGGTAACCCAAAAAACAAAAAAGGCCTTCAAGTAGACGGATTGACACCAGAGCTGCAACAACAAACTCAAGCCTAGGAACAATTGTGAGGGTGACAGAGCATTGGATTGTGCTTTATACTGTTGCGCATAAGGTCCCTATGGCCAGTAAGCAACTGATGACACCCAACAACTCTGCTCCCTCTAGACCATCACCTGCTGGCAAGAGACATCTCTACCTCCCAGAGACTACCTCAGGCCATGATGATTAGGCTGAAACAAAACTTAACTTTTACTCTTTCTTAATGTAGCTTCTGAAGTAGATACCCTGTTTCCCTGAAAGTAAGACATCCCCCAAAATAAGACCTACTTACAGTTTTGCCTCTCACTGAAATATAAGGCATCCCCCCCAAAATAAGACCTCCCCCAAAATAAGGCTCCTCAAAGCTACCCTAACTCTGGACTCTGGACCATAGCAGCAGGTGCCGCCATGCAGCTTACTGTTGGCCACAGCGCAGCCGGAGCAGACAGGAAGTACGACGTCTCTTTTAATAAAACAATAAACAATAAATGTGTACCATATTCTTCTTCACGAAAAAATAAGACATCCACTGAAAATAAGACCTAGTGCATCTTTGGGAGCAAAAATTAATATAAGACACTGTATTATTTTCGGGGAAACAGGGTAGTGAAGAATTCAGTAGATGATAAAATTCTTAGATAGTAAAGAACTCATTAGATGCTAAAACTTTATCCAAACCTACTGCCATCTAGTCAATTCCAACTCAGTCACCTACACAGGATGCCTGCGATGGTCAATCTTGATAGGAGCACACAGCCTCGTCTTTCTTGTGAAGGGGAACTGCTTAATTTGAACTGCCAAATTTACAGTTAACAGCCCAGCACCTAATCCACAACCCCCATCCACCTCCTCCCCAGAGCTCTTTCTCAGACAATATAGGAAACAAGGACAATTCCTGCTGTTCAGCCCTGCTTTCACTACTGCTCTTCCGGGGGCCTGGGAGGTGATTTTGACCATGGGGTTCTTGTCTCTAGCAAGGGAATAGGCCTCATTTGTTTGGCTTGACTAATATGCATGACTCAGGCCTCCAAACCAGCAAGTGTTTTTCCTCTATAAACTCATTATGCTTTTGTGTAAAGCGTCGCTCTCAAAGGTAGTCCATGCTTATATGCAGAGCATCTCCTAAGCAGTACAACTACATCCTCAAACTCTGCTTTTAAGAACAAATGAATCGACTAGTCCCAGAATCTGTCTAATTGTTCAAACTGTGTTACACTAAATAGGATGACACACTATACGTTGCCAGGTGATTTGTCTATAAATGGCATGTGACCTAGTTCACAGCATCTTTCTTGGCTTGATTTTCCCAGAATTCAAGTAAATGTCTCAGCAAGATTCTCTCTTCTTCTTATGGTTTTGAATTTGGGCATATCAGGGATCCCCGGAAATAGCACAGTGCAACCAAAGAGGAAAATCACCCAAGGGATGGGGCCATTATTGCCATGACTTCATGCCTGTAAAGTGAGGACGAGCCAGTTCATCCAGAACAGCAAGCGTGTGTCACTCACAACTCCTTGGGAACAATGCTCTTCACTGTGCAGGCTACCACATGGGAAATTAGCTTGTTTTGTTTTCTTTTGTACCATGTTGGGGGATAAGAGACGGTTGCTTTGCTCTCTAGTTGAATACCACACAGTTGGGAACTATGGTTTCCTGGTACCAAATACAGAAGCATTATTAGCGAAATGGAAATCCAATGATCTATGTGAGACTGTGGTTGTGATGGTAGGTGTTTCATTCCTGAGCGCAGGAAGAGCAGGTTTTCTTATGGAAGAGGAGGCAGATTTCAGGAAGTTCCCAGAGAGTCACTTGACATTTCTCCCTGGAATGGGGAGGAGGAATGAGATAAATGAAGGGTGGATGGGATGAAGCACCTTCCCAAGGGCAGGGTACCTACACTAGGCAAATGTTGGATCAGTGTGAGGTCCAAGGCTGTGAAAAATTGTCTGTACCAGTGAGAGGGACATACATTGTACAATTTTCCTTTAATTTACCATTCTATGTAGAATTTATCATAGTCTCCTCTATGACACCACAGAACTTTTGAGACTGGGAAAATGTGTCCATTACATTTAATTTGCATATGCATTAAATAGCTAGACAGCGGGCAAAGTGGTTACCTCTTACAAATTTTATTTCAAACCTTCTATTCCATCAATTCAATAAATACAGGTGTGTTTTTCAGGGGATGAGACCCAATTTTTGACTGATTTGTGAAATTGTAAGAATTTGATAAATAGTAATAGCAGAAGAATTTGATTTCAGATATATTTTGTTAATCAATTAACTTTAAGTAGTTTGTAGCCATTACTTTTAATCTTGTCATCCCCTAGTAATAAGAACAGTTTTATTGGGAAATAGCTACATCTCTTGGATTTATGCAACTAGATGAACATTGCAGAAACATGATATGAAAGGCATATGCCTGATTAAACTCAAGTTCAATTGTTTTACACTTAGAGAACTTCCTGGCTCTAAATGATATATGGACAGATTAGGGATATATATTTCTTATTGCCTAATAAAACGAATCTGATCATTTCAACATATGACAAATTTTGTTTCCCTTGGCATTAAATTTCTGAGGAAGTGTGATTCCCACTCCCACAGGAGCCTAACTCTTCGAGCCTCTCTTTCTGTACAGAGGTCACAAAAGAAGCAAGACTCACTGTTAAACTTCCAGATGGCCCAAATTAAGAATTCCCTGAAAGTTATGAAATTATGGAGAAGACATAAAACAATGCTTTCTGTGGTACAAAACAGGCAGAGGCAAGAAAGACTTGAGAACTATTTTATATTCCCCTCCCACATTTCCAGCCTCCTTTTAAACTAAGAATGTGCACTGCGACCTATGCTCCTAACTCTCTAGATTGAATCTTCCTTCTTGTGCGGCAGGAAATGAAGGAGTTCATGAAGGAGGAGGAGAACTGCCCAAGGTCACTTCCTAGTCCTGTCGAGCTTTGACGTGAGCAAGAGAAAAACTATCCTGTGCTGAGGTAGAAAGACATGGGGTTTGAAAATGAACGTGGACTTTTGTCACTTGGTTTTAGAGAACCAGTTCCAGCACTTATCCTACAATTCTAAATGTTCCTTCCAGCAGTACTTCACTTTGGTATTTTAGAGACTTTAAATAGTGAGTTATGATACTACATAGTGAACTTTGAGGAACATTAAACTATGACACTTTGAGATACTTAGAGAAATGTTGACCTAATATTGTTTCTTGTTACTTCTGTTTTACCCTGTGGTCCATATGGGAGTGCCTGTGGTCTTAAAAAGGGGCCAGCCAAGATACAATATAATCTCCATTCACCGTAAATAACAGAAGATAAAAAAGAGTCCGATTTTAGAAGAGGAAATCAATTAAGTGTCTGGCTATATCCATGAGTAACTGCTTACTTTACCATGAGATCAAAAGATTTGGATGGTACCCAACTACCATTATCATTTTGATAAAATATTCTATAAAATAATTCTAGCCAGAGGATGAAGATTATGGAACATAAATTCAAATTCTAAATTGATGTAAGGAATTCTGGAGACATGGAATTTGGTTGAATCCCCAAAACTGTCACCCTGAGATTATCTTTTAACTTTACTGAAAGTATTCCCTGATGTCTTCTTTGATCCCAAACCAAGAGTCTATCATAATAAGTAATGTATGTCTACCTAGAGAATTGTGTTTTTTTAAAGAGTTAACTCTGTGAGATAAAATCCAGAATAGCAGGTTGAAAGGTTAGATGAGAAGCTTAGAGGATCCTGAGAATAAATCAATGGTAGTGAAACAATTCAGAGAAGATGGTGAAAATAACTACAAAACCTGAAAAGCATAATCAATGTCAACTAGTTGTACACATAGAAATTGTTCCAATGATGCATGACTGCATGTTTTTGCAAAAAGAAAAAAACCCAATCCATTAAAACTTTACATTTAGAAATGTTTAATGATAGTTGATATGTCGGCTATAGACACTATGTGTTCAAGGATGGTCTTAACTGGTGCTCTTGACTTAGCTGAGGTTTCAATAGAACCTCATGAAAATTACATGACTTGACTGTGGATAATTTATTTTTAATTTGAAGTCTTTGGTTTGGTTGGAGAAATAGATAAGAACATTGTGTTGATATTAGAAAAGCATATTCCCCAGCACACGCTTCAGATACAACCAAGTGTATTAAAAAGAACCGCTTGACAGAGTAACCATAAAGTATATTCATCAAGAAAATAAGAAAATTATTCCTATAGAGCAGAATCAGCCAATTCCAGAAATATTTATAAACATGAAACAGAATGCATTAATGTTTGCCCACTTAGCTTTCAGAAATTCTATGAACAAGTTGTTGAAGTTAGTCTTCTCGTTTCCCTCCATTTATGAATGGAAATATGTATTGAAGTTATTCTGTCTTGTAAACTGAATGTGTCTGGGGACATTCTAGTGAAGGGGGAGAGAACTTCACAGGTTTTTTAAATAAAAGAAGTCACTTTTGTAGCTGATGAAGAGATTCATCAAGTGCTAGCTAGTCTGGGCAATAAAGTGATTTTCTCCCTTGAGAGCAGTTAAGTGAAATAGTTACACAAAAAGTAGACGGTGACATAAACTGTTAGTGTTCACCAAGTATTTTATTTCCGGGTCTCCTTGGTAGCTTATTTGAGGTAGTTCTAGTTCTAGTTGGCAAGTGACTAGTTCTTGCCAATGAACTGTGAG